TTCACAAAATGATACATCCTTTCATTTTTGGAATGTGTATGTATTGCCTTTGATCTAAGCAAAGAATCTACTGTTCTCCTCGAGTATTTTTTATGTTTATCCCTAATGAAAGAGAAAATCCTAACAGTAGTTTAAAGATGAACTGAAAGCAGTTTAAAAGCATAGAATAAAAAAATACATATATACATGCTTAGCACTAACAACGTGACAACAAAAGCGTAACTTCCAATTATGCACTAGTCATTTAGGAGGCTCCCTAATACTGAGATGTTTAATGTAGACAATATGGAAAAATTTATCTGCTCTTACGTGCACTAGATGGCAATTTCTCTACTCTACTACTGTCATGGGTACATAATTCCAATAAATAGGCAGTATTTTTAGGCCTACTGGATGGCAGAATAGTGAAATCTGTACATATTGTCTGCATTTCATGGGACGACTTTGTTTTTTGTCTAACAACATCTGAGAGTCTAGTGTTTCTTATTCTTTCCACTGTTGTTTTTTTCATGCACTGTCTAATACCAAATTGCATATTTTTAAAATCTATTCATTGATTACTTTTAGTTTTACATGATATAAAAACAATTCTTGAGGGCCAGTGCCCACTTAGTACAATATTGCTTCCTTTTATGAAAGTAATATTGATGCAAATACTCATGGATGTAAGGTTAGAAATAGGCTTCCTGTAACATTCACACAATTTGACTTCACTGTTTGCAGAAAGCAAACACAAGAGGTACAGACAGCCAAATCAGATCCATTGTCCCCATTAAAATTAACTTCTCTGGAAACATTTTCAATTGTTTATCCTTTTTAAGCTGTAACAAGAATAGAATAGAATAGAACAGAACAGAATAGAATAGAATATTTCAGTTGGAAGGGACCTACAACAATCATGTAGTCCAACTGCTGACCAAAAGTTAAAGCAAGTTATCAAGGGCATTACCCAAATGCCTCTTAAACACTGACAGACTTGGGGCATCGACCACCTCTCCAGGAAGCCTGTGCCAGTGTGTATTGGGTTTGCGTGGCAAAGTTTTGGTGGTGGGGGGGCTACAGGGGTGGCTTCTGTAAGAAGCTGCTAGAAGCTTCCCCTATGTCCGACAGAGCCAATACCAGCCGGCTCCGAGATGGACCCACCGCTGGCCAAGGCTGAGCCCATCAGTGACGGTGGCAGCACCTCTGGGAGAACAGATTTAAGAAGGGGGGGAAAACCTACTGCAGCAGAGTAGCTGAGGAGAGGAGTGAGAAGATGTGAGAGAAACAGCCCCACAGACCCCCAGGTCAGTGCAGAAGGAGGAGGAGGAGATGCTCCAGGCGCCGGAGCAGAGATTCCCCTGCAGCCCGTCAGGAAGACCACAGTGAGGCAGGCTGTCCCCCTGCAGCCCAGGGAGGTCCATGGTGGAGCAGATCTCCACCTGCAGCCCGGGGAGGACCCCACGCCAGAGCAGGGGGATGCCTGAAGGAGGCTGTGACCCCATGGGAAGCCCATGCTGGAGCAGGCTCCTGGCAGGACCTGTGGACCATGGGGGACCCACGCTGGAGCAATCTGTGCCTGAAGGACTGCAGCCCATGGGAAGGGACCCACACTGGAGCAGTTTGTGAAGAACCGCAGCCTGTGGGAAGGACTCACGTTGGAGAAGTTTGTGAAGGACTGTCTCCCATGGGAAGGACCCTGCAGTGGAGCAGGGGACAAGTGAGGAGTCCTCCCCCCGAGGAGGAAGGAGCAGCAGAGACAAGGTGTGAGGAACTGACCCCAACCCCCATTCCCCATCCCCCTGCACCGCTGCAGGGAGGAGGGAGAGAAAATCAGGAGTGGAGTTGAACCTGGGAAGAAGGAAGGGGTGGGGGGAAGGTGTTTTAAGATTTGGTTTTATTTCTCATTACCCTACTCTGATTTGATTGGTGATAAATTAAATTCGTTTTCCCAAAGTTGAGTCTCTTTTGCCTATGATGGTAATTGGTGAGTGATCTCCCTGTCCTTATCTCAACCCAGGAGCCTTTTCATTTTTCTCTCCCCTGCCCAGCTCGGGAGGGGAGTGATAGAGCCGCTTTGGTGGGCACTTGGTGTCCAGCCAGGATCAATCCACCACACAGTGTCTGACCACCCCCTCAGTAAAGAAATGCGTCCTAATGTCCAGTCTGAACCTTCCCCGGTGCAGCTTTGAACCATTCCCACGCATCCTGGCACTGGATCCCAGGGAGAAGAGCTCAGCACCTCCCTCTCCATGTCCCCCCCTCAGGAGGCTGCAGAGAGCAGTGAGGTCACCCCTCAGCCTCCTTTTCTCCAAACTAGACAAGCCCAAAGTCCTCAGCTGCTCCTCACAGGACTTGCCTTCCAGCCCTTTCACCACCTTTGTTGCCCTCCTCTGGATGCGTGCGAGCACCTTCACATCCTTCTTAAACTGTGGGGCCCAGAACTGCACACGATACTCAAGGTGAGGCCGCACCAACGCTGAATACAGCGGGATAATCACCCCTTTTGACCGGCTGGTTATGCTGTTTGATGCACCCCAGGATGGGGTTTGCCCTCTCGGCTGCCAGGGCACACACTGCCGACTCCTGCTGACCCTGCTGCCGACCAGCACCCCCAGGTCCCTTTCTGCAGGGCTGCTCGCCCACCACTCCTCTCCCAATTTATACTTTTGCCCAGCGTTACTCCATCCCAGGCGCAGAATCTGGCACTTGCTCTTGTTAAATTTCATGCCATTGATGATTGCCCAATGTTCCAATCTATCTAGATCCCTCTGCAAAGCCTCTTGTCACTTGAGACAGTCAACAGCACCTCCCAGTTCGGTATCATCAGCAAACTTGCTAATGGCGCACTCAACTCCTGCATCCAGGTCATTGATAAAAATATTGAAGAGAACTGGCCCTACAATTAAGCCCTGAGGAACACCGCTGGTAACTGGTCAGCAGCCAGATTCAGCCCCATTCACTACAACCCTTTGAGCCCTGCCCTTCAGCCAGTTCTTCACCCAGGCTTCTACGAGTTGACAGACTGTTCTGTCAGCATCCTATACATTCTTGTACGGCTTTGTCCAATGTCTTTCTCTATGAAAATCTTAATTACAGTGTCCAAATGATGATGTCAAATAGACAAGGTCATGGACCATCTTTTGACAAACTAGTATGTGCCTATTTTCTGTAAATGTATTGTTTTTACCTAAGATATTTTCAAGATGGGTAAATCTGTCATCAACACAGAACCATCCAAAATGGTTTGCATTTTCAGTATTTCCCCTATCCTGTTTCTTTTCTTATTATAAATTTAATGATATATTAATTATTATTGTGGCATAATGAAAACATCGGTTTTTTCACAAGCTGTAAAATAAACTCATGACCTTTTGCAGTGATTGAACATGTAATGGTATTCTGCTCAGACCCTTCTAAAACTGAACTGCAGGAAATTAAGATTTACTCACCTACGCTTCTCCTACATGTTTAAGTAAAAACAGTACTATTTCTCTCAGGACCAAAACCAACAAGGTATCACATAGTCAACATGGCAAAAATGTTGCTAGTCCCATGGCAGAAACATTTGTTATGCATAGCAGGACAGTTATTTCACATAGAAATCAATATAAACAATTCAGTGTCCATTACCTGTACTCCCAAATGAATATTCATTATAAAAAAACCAGAAAGAGTCCATAACACTCACACACCAAACAGGGCCTCTCTTGCTAAAGTTTGATTTAACTGTGTTCCACCTAGCGACAAAGAAAGCTATTTAATACACGTTTAAGAAAGAGCTACTCTGGGCTTGTTCCCCACAATTGATACTTCCTCCCATTACCTCTCTTCAGGTTTCTCAACTTCAGCTGGTTTAGGATGTGTAGGCAGCACGCTGCCTCCCAGCCCTGCTCCCCACGTCTACACCTCTGTCTCTCATTGTGTCTCTCCCTCTTTCCTCCTTCCCTGAGCAAGAATGCTTTTTTTCTCAGCTTAGTCTTCTTGTGAAAAATATGGCTCCAGCTGGTCCGTGCGTCCCCTCTTTGAAACCAGCTAGGAGCACCTGGGCCGTTCTGATCACCACCTCCCCAGAAAGACCTCACGGTGCTGGATGCAGGTCCCAGTATGACGTTCGCTTCCCTGTTGGCAGAAGACTTAGGGCAGAGAGAGCGAGGTGGCTTTCAGACAGCTCTAATGTTTGTCTCCTGCAAAATCCATATTCACAAGCAATGCTGCAAATGCTGGACTGGGTCTACTCAACTGGCCCACGCCAAGTAGCAGTTGTACTTTCAGGCACCAATGCTGGCAAATTATCTAATGCACTTTTCTGTTTATTTATTTGTTTTGCTTGGGAAAAAAGCTGTAGGGGGGAACTAGTCATAGACTATTTAGTGGGAGCAGCTGCACAGGCAGCCAAAGCAAGGCCTTTCAGACAGAACTTCTTAAAGCTTTTTGCTGCGTCTTCTCCAGCATGCACCACTGGCTTGTTAGGTCAACTCTGACTCATTTCTTCCTCAGCTATCTTTGCACCTCCCAGTCAGATCTGTTATTGCATTATTTCTCTGCCCTGCTGCTCCTTCTTTCCTCAATATCCTCATTGTCTTTAACCTATCCTTTCCTCACTGCTGCCTCTTAGCTCCCTCAGAAACAAAATACAAAAAAACCTGTGAAACCAACCTTTTGCAGACACAGACCCTATGCTGCGTAACTTGGACTACTTTCTGCATTGTGCTTATTGACTTCCTAGTACAAAGAATACCTCTTTTTGTCAGTCTTTAGGTACTGGCAGCAAAATCATGCACGGAAAATAAACTGAACCATGGTAATGCCAGAGTATGATTTATAAAACACTGAGGAATTATTTTGCATTGGGAAGACACTTCGTCTGAGATGCAACTTAGAGAACAAGTGAATCTGTACTATCGACTGTTTCATACATACAATGTTTTTCCACAGAAATGTGGAATTTTGAGCACATTGCCAATTGTATTGAAACAGATTGGTTGCTGTTATTAAGAAAGATTTCTTGTGTGCTTTACCTGAGCTAGTAGAAGCAGGAGACTTGCTGCGTCGGGATGGGCCCGGGCTCTTGGTGGTGCTCCTACGTGAAGTCGAAGCTATTTTGGTATAGGAAGTGGATTTCACCACCCGACATTCTGAAAGACAAAGAAACTGCATAAGTTAGCAATTAAGAAACCCAGCGAGAATCTGTAACAGAAAGAGCACTGAAAAGCACAAACATTTAGCCCACGCTTGTTTTCATTCATATTGAGGAGTTTTACGGGAAAATACAAAATCTATATAAATGGCTCCATTAAAATCCAAGCACAGTATGTACCACATCGCAGACAAAGAACTGCTGCACTGATCCAGACTTTTAGATACCATGGTTACTGCAGGTACTTGGGACAGCTTCATTTAACAGTGCTGAGACTACACATAAAATTTGCTTTTGAAGATTTTAGCACAACTGATGCAGTGGTTTTTCTGTAAACAATCCAAATGCAATGTAAGCATTTTTGTCAACCTAGGCAGTCTCCTCTAGAAAAACCGGAAGGCTGCTTTTATATATCAAAATGTTAAGACTGTACAAGCTGATACAGGTGTCTGTCACTCATGAAAGGTTTGAAGAAAGTGAAGCAGGTTTGTTGTTCCTGCTTAATCCTCTGGTGAGCAACAGCCCACATTGTATAGCACACTCAATTCATCACAGGTTGGGGGAAATGGCACTACTTGCTCATAAGACACATCAGTAAAATCAACGAAGAGGCGAAATTACCCTCCCACTTGAGAACACTGCAAGATGTTCAGGTTAGAGTTTATATACACCCACACAGCTCTGTAGGCTTTGTTGCATTACGCCTGCAAAATGGTTCTTGGCCTGAGGATGAGAGAACTTAGTGTGCATAATGCTGATGTCTTGCACTCATAATGGATACTAAATTAATCACCAGACATATTATACAGTCAGGGAAAAAAAAGACTTCCACTTCTTAGCCAATATACAATTAGAAGCCTGCAGCAATGTTTATACTGTCTTCACCTGACGATGTCAGTATACTTCACTTGTTTAAAAATACATCAGTAAACATTTAGTTCTGTATCAGACCTGTTCCCCATTTTCTTCCCGTGGTTAAGGTTCCTCAACATAAGTTAAGAGAAATAAACACGACTTTTTTCTCCCTAGTCAGAAAATACCATGTACAAGCCTGCACATTATTTAGTCTTCATAGATGATCAGTGGAGCCTGTAACATAGTTTAGACAGATTAGAGAACAAAGAAATAAAATCGAGCATAATTAATTAACTTAAACTTATCCACCTGAGAATGATGTCATGAAATGTATTTCTCTTGGCTGCCCTAACTGTTTGTATTTCATCAAGCTGTTGAAGGAAACAGAAGCAAGAACTGATGTGTTACTGAGGGAACATCCAGCACAGCTAAGAGCTGATGGACCAGAGAAATACCCCGGTCTTCCCAAAGAAGCTTTTCTTCCCAAATTCTCCCACCTTTCTAATGCCCAATAGTAGCTAATTCCTTTCTGTTGACGTTTTATGTGATTCATTGATGACTACTCTCATTTTATACTGAACAATGAGTGGAAACGAAGAAAAACATTTACTCTGTTGTAAGAGGAAATTATCAACTGAAAACAGGAGGAATCAGATGAAAGCTTTCAATTAGATTCCGCTAGGTAACTACAGCAGGAACCTCACGTTGATGTATTGGCATAAGCAGCTGCTCCAGAAACCATCTATACGTGTCAAATGTAAACAGGTTCTTTACCTTTCTTGTAAAAAAGATTTAAAATGTCCAAACACCTAACAGCCAACTTGTTTGATCTTGTAAAACTACGATGTAATCCCAGTGTGGGCCCCATTCACAGCAATCAGTTGGGAAGGGAACTGCATATTCTAACGGTCAACAAATAACGAGACTAAAGTAGAATGACCCAATCAAGCCAAAACCATTAGAATATATTCTTATATTTGCTTAGTAGAAAACCTTAAGATTCCATGAAAAAAGCAGCCAGCTACTTTCTGTAATATACTTTGCTATGTAAAAGCTTTCCTGTTTCCAACACGTAAAGAAACAATTATCTATGTCCCTCTCTTGCAATTCATGCTAGGCACTAAAGTGTAACTCTCACCTAGTAATACTCATTTAAGTTCTCCCAATACTTATAAGCACCCAGAGTTACAATGAGTTGGACCAGATAACCTTCAGAGGTCCCTTCCAACCTCAACCGTTCCGCGATTTTTTGATTCTCAGGGCTTTGTCCAGTTGTTTCTGGAAAATCCCCGAGGATGGACCCTGCACAGCCTTCCTGGGCAAACCCATTCCCATGCCTGACTGCCGTCACAGTGAAAATGTTTTTCTTTATATCCAGCCTGAACCTCTTGTTTCAATTTATACCTATTGCCTCTCATCCTCTTACCATGCATCACTGTGAGGAGCCCAACTCCATCATCTTGACGGAGAAGAGATACTGCCCCACTGACACTGGGGCTGCTGGCAGGTCCCCCTGAAGCCATCTCCTTTTCCAGGCTGAACAAGCCCGGCTCCGTCAGACTCTCCTCACAAGGCAAGTGCTCCAGCTCCCCACCATCACGATGGTCCTCCGCTAACTGCCTCCAATTTAGTGATGTCTTCCTTGAGCTGGGGGACTTTAAACTGGACACAGTATTCCAGATGTCGCCTGGTATGTGCTGAGGAGACTAATTACTTCCCTGTCTCTACCGAGGCCGCTCCTGTTCATATAGCCCTGGATGCCGTTAGCATTCTTTGCTGTCAGGGCAACTCTCTCTTCTCTTTAGTCTGCGTCAGAGAAATTTTCTCTCTTTCCCTAATTTTCTATTTGTACAAACCCTTTTGAGCTCAGTTCTAAACTTCTTAGGCACAATTTTCTTTTTCCTCTCAAAAATAATTCACAAGTCATGAAATTTTAAAAGGTTGTAGTTCAAATGAGCATATATTCGCTTTGCTCGAATAGCACTGTGAAGCCTACGATAAATTTTGTCAAGTGCCATGTTTCCCATGGGTTTACAAGTTTATTCACAAATGATATGGGCTACAGTACGGCCTGTGGAGAACCACGTGGGCAAGTCTTCGGTGTTGTGCACACCAGGGTCAAGCAACTCATGTCTTCAAAGGCTGTGGCAAGACTAGTTACAGAGTCTAACGGGATTTCCAGTTCTGAGCAGAATGTAACCATGCAGCTTGTTGTAAATAGGTCTCAGCTCCCATGAACAGTTTATGTATGCAATTCTGTTGTCACATTTAGTTTGGAAAATAAAATTTTACTGCAGGCAAAGATCCCACTCAGTAACCACGCAGCCACTGCTTGTCTCCTCTAAGACATTACCATAATCTGCCTGTTGCTGTAGGAGAACTATGCGTACATAAAAAGGAAGGGAAAACAAAACAAAAATGCATGTTTTTTAAAACCATATTTTCTACACAGAATCTATACTGGTAAGGAAGTAAATACGTACCTTCTCCTCACCAACAGTATTCTGATAACTATACAGTGGGTCCTCGGTAAGCCATGAAATAGAAGAACATTTTTTCCCCTGATTTTCTTTTCATGCCAAAACTATATCACAAATAGATCTGAACTCCTGACAGAAGCAAGTTATATTGCCTTTCTCACTCATGTGGGCATGCTCAGCCAAGAAGAAACACCGGGTGTTTCTGTGGTATGTTCAGTGAGGAACTAAATGTATCACGAAGCCTCAGTCCTTCCTCTCACCATCAAGTGACTAAGATTAAAGGAACAAAATGATGATACCCATGGTAACGTGAAGCTAAAGAAGGTCAACTTTAAGGTCTGATCACAGGCTTTATTGCTTTCCAACTCAGAATACCAGATAAATAAGAATGCTTTTCCAGCCAAAACATCTTGCAATAAGATGTTCTATTGTATAACTACAGACAGAACTACAAAGTAGGAGAGAGAAGTACAGACTATAGGCAGTGAGACTGACAATGTGACACTGCAGTCCCTTTATAGCATGGAATATTACCACAGAGGTCTGAGGCTTTTAGTGGACATTAACAACAATAAGGCTGAGAAAAAAAGAGGAAAAATCCCAAGGCTATGATCTGACATCACTGAGACACCGTAGGGACAAGATAAGCAACACGACATTCCTGAGATTGCACGGTGGTGTCAATGAACAGTAGGAACTGGTACAACTAGGAGAAACCCCAACATATTTACTTGTGAGCTCTTGATTCTTCCTGTTGACAAATGGATAAACTGTAAGTATGAGGTAATTAAGGGATGCTAACACGCAGAATCATAACGCCTCCAGTCTCCAGCTCTGTGATGTTTCATTTCCAAAATGTTTCATTAGCTTCTATGTTCATTAGATTTTACAATGGCAAGAAAGCAGCAGGGAGTAACTAATCTGCAATAAATGTGTCATAAAATGAACAAATTTAATGTGTTTCTAGAGCAGACTGTGAAAAGTTATCTAAATTACCAGGAGATCAAAAAGGCTTACTTGTCAGCTACTCAGAAGTTGACTGCATGGCCTTCATGAGTCCTTTCTGGGCTAAAATATCAGTCTCTGCTGTGTTTTGCTTTTTTTTTGAGGTCCATGTGTAGGGGACAGATATTTATTTTTTTCGGTATCCCTGCCAATCTGTTTCTCTAAGATGAGAACATTTAACTTGGTTTCAGCAACAGCTGTATCCTACAGATAAGCAAGGGGGGAGGATCAGGGATGTCTGTGGTTGTTGGTAAGCCACTTTACTGTAAGCCTTAGGCTGGTACCTTTTACCACTGCTTAAAGACATTAGCCTCACTAGCCACATCCTCAGGCCAATCAGTAGATCATTACCCCAAATGCAGTACCGATTTTAGTTTTTAATGGTGAGAGTAATTTGTTCCATGTTGCTAATTCTTAATGCAGCTAATAAGATTTTACTTTTCAGTTGCATTCATGCCTTCAATTAAAACCAGTAATCTTCTGTTTGCAGAACTAAGTTTCACTCTCTTCAGCAAAAGGGAAATGGTACCATCCTGTCTAGTGGTATTGATATACACTGCAATTCACCCAACCCTGCTGATGAATCAGTGGAAGCTATGACTTGTAATTACAACATGTTCAGAAGGGTAACTATCATACAGTTTCCAGAAATGAAAGG